AGACAAATAAAGCGAAATAAATAAAAGTAAAAAAATTGAAAAAATTAAAAAAAAAGAAATAAAAAATAAAAGCATATATAAAAATTCCATAGCAATAGAAGGTAAAAGAAATAATAATAAAAAACAAAAAAGTAAACAAAAATAATAAAAAATAAATAAAAAAAAGATAAAAAAATCAATAGCAAATATAAAAATTTTATAGCAATAGAAGGTAAAAGAAATTGTTGAAATGTAACCCTAATAGCAACTAACATATTATGCAACCCTGTAATGTTTTTGAAATAACTGAAACCGAAAACATTCAGTCAGTCCTTCATTTCTAACTGTTGAATAAACACTTATACTTATTATACTGAATTGCATAGAAGCAAGCGTGTTTTACTTGGAACCCGAAAAGTAGCAGAGTAAGAATCCAACAGAAATAATAATAAAAAATGATAAAGTAAATAAAAAAAAAATTAAAAATAAATAAATAAAAATAAAAATAAATCAATAGCAAATATAAAAATTCCATAGCAGTAGAAGGAAAAAAAAAAAAAAAAAAAAAAAAAAAAAAAAAAAAAAAAAAAAAAAAAAAAAATAAAAAAAAAAAAATAAAAAAATTAAAAAGTAAATAATAATCAAAGGCACATATAACGATATGAAAAAAATGCGCACACTCAATACACACACACTTAACAATGCTCACATATTCGTAACGAAAAAAAATAAAATAAAAATACAAAAATGGACGCATTTGCACCTCCCCGACACGAACACACGAAAGTAAAGGACATTAAAGTGAGGACAAGTATTTCTTAAACTCAGCACGCACAATAACAAGCCTGCCAACGAACCCACGTGATCCACCGGCACGCACTCAAGGCTGCCTTAAATACATTTAAACATAAACAAAAATAAAAAAAAAAAAATAAATGAATAAAGAACTCAACTTTTTAGCTACAACCCATTCTTTGTGGCATGTGGCTGTGTGGAAGACATAAGAATATTACCTATTTTTTGTTATTGCATTTTACTTTCTAGACTTTAGAGACAATTTGTTAATATGAGCACGCACATGAGATCCCTCCTAAAAGAGTAAAGAGAAAGTGTTGAGGCTGTTGAGGAGATGAAGTGAAGAGCAAATCAAGCAAGGAAATGCGTAGTGTAAATATGTAGCACAATATATACATATATACATATACAAATTTTTTTTGGACGAAGCTAGTAAGTACTAAAAAAAGCCTACTTACATTAGGCACACAGGTAGTTTCGGTATGCCAGTCACGTTGTATTTAATTTAACGAGATCAAAGGCGCATTCGGCTCCCTTTTTCATGTGTTTCTTTGGGTTTTTTTCTTAATGCGTTTAGCATTTGCGGTGTATATTATATAAAACATATGTGTATATACTTATGTATGTGTATCTATTGTTGCGCAACAATATCCTTATTGGGTCAACGAAAGTGTTGTTGTTAAAATTTTTTTGTCTTGTTCTCTCTAATTCTAAGCAACAAATTGTCGGGAAGCTCAAATAGTGCACGTGCTGGTCACGTAGCTGCAATATATTAATATGTGTATACATTCCTATAGATACTAGCTTTGAGGTGACTCCAACGAAGGGGCGGAGGTCCTTAAATACATTAAGAAATAATGGTGGTAAGAGAGGGTACGAGTTGTATGAGCCAAAAATTGAATTAACGATGAAGGAAATACATTTTTGAAAGAATTTTGAAAAAAATAAAAAATTACAAAAAAATTAATGTATATATATATGATACACTCGCTGGTCTTTACTTTAATCCTATTCTTTCTGGCACGTCGGATACCCTGGGAGTGTGAGCCTGTACCTGGAATGTCCGATGGTTTAATTGGGAAGCTGCAGCTAAAAAGTTGGTTGTTGTCCTAGTAAGACTTAAACAGAAATCACCAACATCAAAGAAGAGCGATAGACGGAACATGAGCCGAGACGAGTAGGTTCCTGTCACATTTAGTTCAAATAAGTCTCCTCGACGAAATATTCGGATGAGGCCAGAGGTCGAAATAGAATTGTCTGTGCCAGAAAATTCACCAAACTGTTTGGTTATCTCCAGATCGTAAAACCCAAAGATCTATCACTATTTTGTTGAGGCGAAGAACGTCTATCAACAAACACTGGGAAGGCTCGACCGCAAAAAGCTGCAATCATAATACACAGCCGAATGGGATACTATTCGGCTTGCACTCCTGCTCGCTGAGAGTACTCAACAGCAACTCGGTATACGGGACCTGTGGAATGGCGTTTCAGCTCTCTACGTACAGCTGCAACCTAAACTTTTGGATTTCGTAAAGGTCGCAAAAAAAGTTGGTACAATGAGAACTGCAGTATCGTAGTGGAGCGAAAACAGACTTCGGGATGGGATAGATACCATGAACTGAAGAGGAAAGCAAGACGATGTGGGGTTGAAAAAAGGAAAATTCCGATATGTGTGAGTACGAAGAGCTTGACAAGCTGGCCGACATGGTAAAATTTTTGAAAATCCTTTAAGAAAATACGACGGCTTACAGAAGGCAGAGGCATGGAGGATGACAAAACCTTATGAGTGAGAGTGAAAATTTTCGTACGACTTGCGGTTCTTTGCGTGTTGGGAATGGAAAATATCGTTCTTTTTGATAAGATTGATTTCAACTTCAACTTTTGGGGTTATTGTGTTCCCTAGGCTTATTCATCATAATGGCTTCACGGAAGCCCTAGCGGATTTAAAGCCACCTAAGAAGGGCGCATTTAACTCTTTACGGATGTATAGAAACTTGACGAAAAAGTCCGCGCAGAGTCTTGTGCCGATTTTAAATAGACTGGGACTCTCCTTTATTCAGATAGTTCTGAGCGCCTGTGTTCCTGTTTACGATCACTGTCCTTGATGTTGACGTCTTCTATTTTGCTTTGGCATTGGCAATGGCAACGTGGCTCGATACAATAATCCTTCGAAAAGAATGGGAGGGTTTCCTCTTTTTCTACTTCCACCGGCCTGTAGTACAAGAAGCTGGCGTGGGTTTCAGATATACGAACGACGTGACTCTTGAATCGCTGAACTTTTATGACATTTGATTTAAAGAGCAATGCTTAAGTAACCGAACTACTCCATACTGTTCACATGCGCACACATACACACTGAGATGGCAAGAAAGTGTTGCCATGGCAATTTATGGGTACATGAAATAAATATGTGCAAATGCGAAAGCAAAAGGAGGAATTAAATTACCCAAAAAATAACGGTATAATAGGTCAAGTATAAGTATACTTATATATATGTACGCACACTTGCAAGCACGCACTTGAACGCATTCCCATACAACACCCTCGCACACATACATGATGCAGTGTCACTTGCAGCAACTACGGCAGCCAAGCGCAGGACTTATTTATAGCTCGATAATAAAGATAGATGACCACGGACGCAAAGAAGCAACAGCAAATACAAAAAAAAGAACAACAACACCAATTACGTATAAGTAAATATATATGCAAGTTTAAAGGTATTATAACAACAACAGAAGCATGGATGGCAATAAAACAAGGACCATCGAAAATTAAAACAACAACAGCAACAAAAATAATGACAATAATTTTAACTGCAAATGCAATTGAAGAATATTACAATTGAATTAATGTCATTTGGAGTAACGGCATGACACTCTATGGAAATTGAAGAGGCAAGCAAAATAACTTTAAAGTGAGCGGGCGTCTGCAGACGAAGCTTGGCACTTTACTGCTCGACGCTGTTGAATATCAGAAAGTGCAAGAAGCTTGAAAGAAATTTATTGCTGCAACAGATAATAATTTTATTATAATAGGGAGCGAGAGCAAGATGGAGAGGGAGTGAGGGAGAGGTAAGGAGATAGAAAGGTTGTAAGTGTTAATAATTGTCATTAGAGAGAGAAATGAACAAAGAAGAACAAGTAGTAAAAAAGAAAACGAAATAAAGACAAATTAAAGGAAGAAGAGGAAAAAGAAGAAGAAAAAGAGGAAGCAGAAAAATAAGAAAAAGAATCAGAAGAAAAAAAGTGAAAAGAGGAAAAAGAAAAAATAAGAGGAAGAAAAGAAAGAATAAAAAGTCGAAAAAGAGGAAGAATAACGGGAAGAAAAGGAGCAAAGTGAGAAAGATGTAGAAGAAAAAGAGGAAGAAGAGAAATGAGATAATTAATCAGAAGAAAAAGGAAAAACGGAAAAATGAAAAAAAGGAGAAGAAGAAGAAGAAGGAGGAAAAGAGGAAGTATAATGGGAAGATGAGGGTGAAGGAGAAGAAGAAGAAAAGAAGAAAAAATAAGAGAAATTAAAAAGTAGAGAAAAAGAAAAAAAGATGAAAAAGGGTACAAGAAAAAACGGAAGAACAAAAGGAAGAAAAAAAAGAAAAAGACGAGGAATAGGAGGAAGATGAGGGAGAAAAAGAAGAAGAAGAGGAAAATGAGGGAGAAATAGAAAAAGAAGAGGAAGAAGAAAAATAAGAAGAGCCAGAAGAAAGAAGAAAAAGAGGAAGAATAAAAGGAAGATGAGGGAGAAATAGAAGAAGAGGAAGAAGAAAAAGAGGAAACAGAAAAAAAGAAAAAAAAGAAAAAAGAAGAAGAAGAAAAAAGAAGAAAGAAAGAAGAAGAAGAAATGAAGAAGAAGACCAAGAAAAAGAAAAAGAAAAGAAGAAGGAAAATAACAAGAAGAATCAAAAGAAAAAGAAGAAGAATAAGGGGAAAAAGAATGAGCAGAAGAATAAGGAGGAAAGGAAGAATAAGATGAGAAGTTAAAGAAGAAAAGGAAAATGAGGAGAAAGAAGACGAAGAAAAATAAAAATAATAAGAATAAGCATGTTTTGAATACTCCTAATTAAGCACACCAGCATTTGAAGATTGCCAATGAAAAATTGAAAATAATTTTTTTAAAAATGTATTTTTCGAAAAAATAAAACAAATCTCGATTATATAAGTTTTTGATTTTTTTTAATTTTTTAGCAATTATTGCAGGGAAAAATATTTAAAAAATTTGTTTATTACCTCCGACGAGAACTATTTTGATATTCTCTGTCTCACAAAATTGAGTAATATACCTGAAATGAAAATAAAAAATATATGTAAATGATTTTTGGAACTTTTTGAAATCACTTATTAAAAAAGCTTAGATATAAAATAAAATTGATTTTCAACAAGTCATATAAATAAATTTTTGAAATTTAAGAAAAAAAATATATTTAATTTTTATCAAAATAACATTGCAAACAAAATTTTATTTTTCTAAAGCGGTACGCAGCGCTAAGACAACTATTGGGTTGCCCCAGCGTCGTTTTTGGAAAAGAATTTCCATTTTGTTGGATGGCCTTTCCCCATCTTTCCGGCAACATCATTACTCCACACTCATAGAGCTTCTAGTCTTTATCTGCTAAAAACTTAACCAAGGTACTGAACGGTTAAATCTGGTATACCTAACTTCTTTCCAATCTCATGCTCACTTACATGACGATCCGATTCGATTGAAGCCTTGAAATCCTCATCACCAACACACTTGACCGATTTTATTATTATTCATGGCCTTCTATCTATTATAATGCAAGTCTTTACAGGGTTGCCAGAAATCGGAAATTCCATATTATATATTATTATTAAATGGAATAAGACCATATGGCTATCAAGGGTTAATAATGTTATTATAATCACTCTCTTTTAAAATATCTATATAAGTAGGGTTGCCACTTTCTTATTTTCAAGTCAATAATTAATTTAATTTATTTTATTTAATATTCATACATAAATATGCTTACAAAATAAATGTTTTTAATTACATTCTTAGTATAAGAAACTTTGGTATTTGTATAAGAGTTGCCAACTGGATGAAAAATTAAGTTCATATAAGTATGTGAGAAAAATAATAAGGTATAAAGACACCAAATGAAAGCAATTCACCTTGAAATTCAAACGATTTGCCAGCTCTTTAAGAATATTAAATAAATTAACTCGTAAATAACTTAAAATATAAACGAAAAAATTAAATTTTTTTTTAATTTTTTGAATTTTTTTTTAAATTTTTTATGGCTTGGAATATCACTTATGAACTCTTTCATAATTTCATAGTGAGTTTTATTATTATCCTACAAATTAATTAACATCAAAGATTAAGGGCACCGAACAGATAGTCTCAAAGACCTTTTGGGCTAAACTGGTTTTTGCCATAGATCATATTAAGAAAATAATGATGAAATTAGTAAGTGTTGGATATGTTAGGTTCAGTTCGGTTGAATCGGTTAACTATTCGGCGGGTCTCATATAGACGATACTAAGCTACAGGTGTTACTAGATATGTCTCCCATGCTATGCCTCTTGTTGGGTACTCAGTTGAAGAAATTATCTAGTGCGGATTGAACATTCGTCAGCATGTCCTCACCAAGTATGTTCAAACTTTGTCTCCCGAACTAGGGGTATCCACATATGACGTGCTCTGTTGTCTTATGTTTCCCTATGAATTTTCCGCATTTATTTGAAGGCATGGTTTGCCAACAGGCAATATGCCGTTGAAGGCCTTACTAGTAACCTGGAGTCTTACTGCTTTATCGCGGAAACTTCGAGACATAAGATTTGTCCGTTCCCAAGGTAATGTTTCACTGCTCTGAGGGGAATGCGTAAGCCCAAATGCACCTTACTGAAAGGATTCTATTTTTATCCAATTTATTGGATAACCCATTCCCAACAACGCCCATATGCCCGGGTACCCGATATAGCTTGGTCCTTTCTTTTCTCTGATAAGCTTTTGATTATCTACTAACATAGCGCAACCACAACCGACTTTGTGGTATTTACCGTGCTCGGATACAGCCGGATACAGTCAATATAAAAAGTATTTAATAAAATTTATAACTTTCGAAAATGAAAGAAAAATAAAATGCATAGTCGAGTATCTATATACATACGTACATATTGCATTTGACCCAAAAATATCCATCATCATCAATAAATATATATGTGTGTATGTATTTACACTTGTTGTTTGTGAGTTATTGTCCACAGCCATGGCCTACATCAATTTTGGGGGAAGAAGACAAAAGTATGGCATTAAGTGACAGTTAAAAATAGCGATGACAGCAGCCAAAAAATAGTTGAAAATTTAGATGAGAGATACATTCATACATACATACATACGAGCATGTGTTGATGGGGGAAAAAATTTGTCAATAATAAAAAATCAATATATATTTTATTAAGTTAAATTCCAATGTCGTTCAACTGCTGCATATGCACATATTGTACATATTTACTTAGCTAGCATGGCATTAGTGCATATGTATGTACTGCATATGTATGCATTTAGCAAAGAAGAAAAATTCATTTTAAACACAAAAATACTTGACGTTGAGCTTTTCATTGCTCATTGATATTTAATTTATTTCGTTACTTTATCAATTTTTTTCAATATTTTTTAATATTTTTTTTTAAACTCGGTGTGTACCTTGTACCCCATGTTGTACGTATATTGGCACGCAATTAATTGACCGAACGCCATATAAATTGATATTATTTTTTAACTAGTCTGCTCGTGAGCTGGGGGAATTTTTTTCATTTAGGCAAATATTTGGACTCGACCATTTATTGGTTGCCTTTCACTTTTGATATTTGCTAAAATTTTTATTTATTTTTTTTTGTATTTATTTAGCGCCTGCAATTGATAGCTGTGGCCGTAAAGTGTATTGAAAAAGTAGGACACTCAATGAGCTTGCGAAAAAATTTCAAAAAAAATCAAGGAATTCATTTCATACTGCACAATTATTAACCACTTACGCCTAAAAGCGAAAAAAGTAGTAAATTCGACGTATGCTAGGTAAAAATAATTGTTTCTTAAAACTATTAGATGCTTAACCTCAATTTTTCTGTATGAACCATGAGGAATAAAATTAAAAATGTGGATTCAATAAAAAAAGAAATATAAAAAAATTTATGAAATTAAAAAATAAATAGAAAAAAAAGATAGAAATGAAGACGAAGCAGGTATTGCAAAAAAATTCAAGTTGTCAGCAAGAAGAAAGAAAAGTTTATTGAAGCTTCTTTTATATACAGCAGTTTGGTATAAAAGATAGATAACTCGACTTATATTTTAGTACATATAATGGTGTTGCCATATACTTCAACAAAAAATAAATGTATTAAAAAAAAAAATTAAAATTAAAAAATAAAAAAATTAAATGAATATAATAAAATAATACACAAAAAAAAAAATTATCTAACTACACAAATGAATAACATTAATAAATCAAATAAAAAATTTTAAATAAATAAAAAAATTAATATGTGAAAATATGTTACATAAAAAATAGAAAAAAAAAATTCTAAAAAAAAATTTATAAAAAAAAATATTTAAATAAAAAAATGAAAAAACTTTTAAAAAATTAATAAAAAAAATAAAGATAAATAAAATAAATCAAAAGAGAAGGAATAAATAAAAATCAAATTAATGAAATAAAAATGAGTAATAAAAAAAATTATAAGAAATATTCATAAATATATAAAAAAAAAAATGAATAAATAAAAGTATCCTCAAAAAAATATATTAAATAATAATAAAACAAAAATTAATTAAGAAATAAAAATAAGCAAATATATAAAATAAATCAAATAAAAGAAATAAAAAAAAGTAATGAAATAAATAAAAATGTGTAAATTATGATAATAAATGATAAATAAATAAAAAAAATATTTAAATAAAATAAAAATGAATAAATATATATGTCAATTAAATACATTAGCTAAAAATGAATAATTAAAAAAAATTAATAAATTGAATAAAAATGATTTAATTTTAAAAAATGGTTATTAAAAATTAGTAAATAAAAAAAATGAAAAAGATAAATGAATAAAAATATCTAAATTAATGAATGAAAACTAATAAATATACTAAAATTAGTAAAAAATTGATATATAAAATTAAAATGAGTAAACGAAAAATTTATACAAATTAATATAATGTTTTTAAAAAAAGAGTAAAACCAAAATTAATAAACAGAATAAATACAGAAAAAATTAATAAAAAGTAACTGAATTCAAGAAATTAAATAAATAACTTAAATAAAAATGAATAAATAAAAAAATAAATAACATAAAATATTAGGAATAAATAAAATAGATTTTTCCCTGTGGTCAGTGCATAATCTGAAATTCATTCAAATTGGAAAATTATCATGCAATATCTCAAAACCTCTATTTCAGTGTCATGAGTGATTCATTAGAAAAGGATGGTTTTTAATCGTGAGGTTTTCATTGAGGCAACACTAATTTGGTGTAGGTGTTTTTTTTACAGCTGTTGCTTGATTTGAACCTAATTTGTTTTGCTGCTTCTTAATGAAGAAATTTATTTTGGAACAACGTTTGCAAATCGGATAAATTTATTACCAAAGTAAAATTTTTTGCAGGCCTTGAGGTCTTCCAAAAGCTTATTGAATATATTATAAGCTTATGGCAGTAGTAAGTATTTCACAAAATCTTTGCCACTCACATAAAGCATCTGTTTCTTTACTTTTTTTTATATTTTTTCCTCATTATTATCTCCACCTGAAGTGATATTTTAAAGCTTTATAAAAACGATCCTACATGGCGTATGAGTAACTTTAGTGTTTATTTCACTTACTCCACTCTCTTACGCCTTTTACTTTTTCGCCTTATTTGCATTTGCATTTCAACCAAATTTTCTTGCGTTCTTTTCTTATTAAAACATTTTCTTATCTTTTAATTCCTCATAAGGAGCAATTTTAATGGCTCAACGTACTGACAGCGTTGCTGCTCATTTATATTAAATTGAACGCTTTTTTGCTCTCATTTACTCGTATGTGCATATGCACGGCAAAGTTGTTGTTGTTTCATGAAAAAAAGTGCAGATTATTTTTAATATCCCTGTGAAGTTTTTTTTTATTTTTTTCATGTAGCTTTTTATTTATTTGGCGCATATTCTTCACATATCCTGCTGGCCTGCAACCGGTTTCATGCTCTCTCTCTCACACTCTCCGTAGTTCTTGCTACTTGTCTGCGCGTATGTTATTTTTTTTTTTAATTTCTGCTTCATTTCCGCTGATTC